AACACCCAGACGTCCCCCGACCACCCAATTTATCATCTCCGAAGTCCCGCGGTACACCGGACGACACCGGGGGGGGGATCAAAAACATAGGCTTACGATGACACCTCCTACTCTTTGTGGTGGAAGAATGCGTACTACTCGGCAGCTCGGTGCTGGGGTGGGCGACGGAAAGAGGACGGGCCAGCGGCGCTGTCATATTGAGCCACTCGCTAGGGTACGTTCGGGTTTCCTTGCCCTAACCCTAACCCTACAGCAGCTGCAGGTCTGCGAGTAGACCGCGGAGCGTGCGATCCCTACATGCAGGTGAGCGATGAATGAAGGGATTGTCGAGACGCAGACAAAAGCTGTCAATGAAAGACAACAGTCTCACGCGCGCGCGCGTGTGTGTGTGTGAAGGAAACCTCCTCTCATCGCGACACACATGGAGGGCGTAGCGTTTTGGGTGTTCGTGCGAAGACTTGTCGTTCATGCGCAAAAAGCGCGCGCCACGCCAGCCCTTTTGACAAAGATAACAACAACAGAGCACCACCCTTGCCCCCGTGACAAGGTTAACTTTGTCTTTCTCTTCTTGTGATGAAACCACCGTTATCTTTATTGCGTCTCGCTCCCTTGCACCATACTATCTATCTGTGGTCCGATCCTTTTGTACACCCCAAAAGCTAGCTTACGCATGTAGTGCAAAGAGAGGGTCCAAGTCTCGGAGAGCCCGCCCTTGCCCCCCCCCCCCACTGTATCCCATCACCCATTCATCCATCTACCCCCCCCCCCTCCGTCCTTTCGCTTTGGGGTGACCCCTCCTTGGCCAAAACCGTCTTATACCATTCAATCAACGCACTCACCTCACCTCACGGTGCTGCTCGCGTGAGGGTAAGACATCTCACGCGAGATCCCTTCCTTCTCCATCGCAACCAAGCCCTCATCATGCCGACTAGCCTTCTATCTTTAGCTCCACGCCCACTATCACCATCACCATCATGACAATAACGAAAGAAAGGCAGAGCACACCAACAACAAACGTAGAAATAACAAAATAACAAACTCTTCTTGAGCTGCCCCATGAAGCGGACGGGCTGCGGCATCAGCAGCAGTAGACTAAGAATGACCAAAAACACGACTAACAGTAAAGAACGTACCATGATATGCCGCACCGCACAACCACAACCGTCACCATCACGCCCGCCCACTCTCGATGCTGATCATTGTATGTAAAAATGCAACGCTCATCAACCTCGATGGCACAGAGGACAGCCAACCTTCCCGATATCGAGAGCCCGACGACGCATCATGGCCGACTTCTGTTCCTTCATCTATCTCCATTTTCGTCAATCGACACCCTTGCTTGCTACGGGTGTTTATTGGCAGTGGCGGAGCACTCCGACCGCACAAGTTTCAAATTTCAGACGGGATACTTTTGCAATCATGTCACGCGTCGTCGCCTGAGTCAAAGACATACTGTCAGGTGTTGGAATCGCGTTGCGCATATTATATATGTATAAAATGTATCACCTATTTAGACTATTTATTATGTAAGTTTCGTGCGCACACCACGTCCGAACACCACCACCTCGTAACTGACTGACTGACCGAGATTTGCCTCTCACACGTCCCCCCCCCCCCCCCAA